CTGCCTCCTGCAGGGACAGTGGGTGGCGATTGGGAGCAGCAGCGCCGTATGCCTCGACTCTCGGAACCCCGCAGCACCACTCTGCTGGCACCAAACACCTGGGCACTTCTCATCCCTTCTGAATCTCAGGGGTCTCCTGATGGATTCTGTGAACTTGCTCTCCAACCTGGACTCTGAGTTTCTCTACCACTATAAGTAGATACTGGTGGATTGAGAGTTAGAATAAAAATCCTTCGTGTAGACGTCTGTTTATGAATGTAATACTCGTTATGTAAAAAACCGAACCCAACATTATGAAAGTGATGTTGCTGAAAGGGTAACGGTCGAATCCAGTAGAAGCCATCGAGCATGTTGCCACAGCCAGGATGTGTGGCTCGAGAGCGCTCGTGGGTGTGTACAGTGGGAAAGACAAGCCAGTGGGCTGCCACCAGCCAAGTGGCTGCCATCACGTTGCAGTGCAGGAGGCACACTTACTGAACAGAGAACTCTGCATGTTAAGCATTTTTATAAAGATTTGAAACTGGATTTCTTAACTGTTTGCTCACTTCTGCAACTGAAACAGTTGGCCAATTGAGGTAGACTTTCATTCACACGGTAAAACTGTATTGAACACCTGTGTGCCAGTGGCTGGGAGGAAAGGCAGTTGACACTACAGCCTGGTTTGGGCTTTCCAGGAATTCAGAAACCCCCAGGGAGGAGCCTTATCTGTAGTCCTGGGACTCCAGGGCAGTCCTGGGCAGCAGTGGGAGTGGCCGCAGGGAGGATCAGCGCTGAGCCAGGGATCAGGGGAGCATTCCAGGGAGGCGCCTTCCAGGCTGAAGGGAAATTGCTCATGTATTCAGGGAACAGGGAGTGACCGGGTGTGGCTGGAGTGGGAGGCGTGGCAGGAGGTGAGCTTGAAAAGTAGGCTGATCCCTTGGAGTGGGGCAGGTTCTCCCCAGGGCCTGACAGCCTCTAGATCTGCCCCAGTCCTGCCTATACAGTGGTGCTACTTTTGCAAATGGTTTTAAGGGCGTGGGAATCTCTACCTTGGGCTGACGTGGGTGCATGAAATACCCAGGATCCTAGCTTCAGCAATCCTTGTCTCAAGACTTTACCCCAAACCTCGTCTCGTCACAAATCTGTTCCCTCTTGTAGGGGACCAAGCTGTGACTCACCCCCTCCAAGGCATGTAGCGGACAGCCATGTACCTGGTGTCAGGCGGGTATGGCAGGTGGAGGGCATGAGGACGAGCAGGACACTGTCCCTTCCCTCCCTCCCTCCCTCCCTCCCTCACAGGAGGGCCCCTTCCCCGACAGTAGCTGCACGGACACCTGGAGGGAAGCTCCTCCTGGTAGCAGAGTCACTGTGGTATGTCCCTTCCCCATAAGCAGCTCACGCTGACTCACCCCGTCTAGATACGATGGAGCTGGCAACAAAGGCAGCTCGCTGGCCCCTTCCAAACTCAGCACACTGCCGGCCAAGGGACCCCAGCACACGGTGTGAAGACAGTGGCGCTTGCACTGAGTCTTGCAGCATAGATAGTCTGGGGTGGACAGAGATGCCAGCAAAGGGCATTCCACATATCAAAACCACAGGACTAGCAAGTCACGGAAATCGCAAGTGTCGGTGGCTAGAGGGTGGTCCACCCCGGGCAAGCTGGGCTGGGAAAGAGAGAGGATAGACCCAAGCTCAGACTCTGGGGCCACCCTCAGTCTAGGCCAGTGGCCATGAGAGGAGCCCAAAGAGTGGAAGAACATACGAAGTATGCGAATTTCCAGAATCAGCAAATTCTTCCAGACAGTTGAGTTCTAAAAATCTCATAAGGTGGTCAGGGGACCTCATCACGTAGCGCAGCCAGGCACAGAGTACTCTTCATCTCCTTCAGGAGCCTCATGGTCCAGTTGCTTAATGAATCGATTAAACTCATTGGCCTGGCCTTGTTCCCAGCACTGGGCTTGGATCCCCTGGCCTTGGTGCAAGAAAGAAGGGGAGAGCACTCGGAATTGTGGTTCCCAGGGCTGCCTAGCAAATACCACAAACTGAGCGGCTTCAACAGCAGAATTTTATCTTCTCATGCATGGTCGGGAGGCTGGGAAGCCAAGGCCCAGGTGTCAGCAGGGTTGGTTCCTTCTGGGCACAGCCAGGGGCGTCTGCTCTGTGCCTGTCTCCAGCCGAGGAGGGGGTGTTGCTGGTGATCTTGTGCATTCCTTGGCTGACAGACATATCACCCTGGTCTTTGCCTACATCTCCATGTGTCGTTCTCCCTGGGTATGTGTCTGTGACCATGTCCAGACGTCTCCTTTTTGTCTGGTCCGACTGGATTAGGACCTTGTCTTAACGTGATCACCTGCAAAGCCCCTGTCTCTAAATGAGGTTGCCTTCACCGTATTGGGGTCAGGACTTCAGCATCTTTTGGGAGACACAGTTCAACCCATCACAGCCCCCAAGTGTGACATACAGATCGCCAGCCCCCACCTCCATGTCCCCATGAACAACCCAGACAGGAGAGAGAAGGACAATGTTCAGGATCCTTCCAGGGCCTGTCCTCTGCCTCCAGAGAGGCAGCCGCCCTTCGTGCCCCCGCGTCGGGAACACCTGACAAGTGTCAGCCCAGTTCTCGGGCCTGGCTGCTCCCCACGACCACACGGCTCATAGGAGGAGCCAGGGAGCCTCCCAGGCAGCTGGAGAGGCAGCTGCAGATCCACGTTTACTCCAAACATCTCTACATAGTAGTTATATATGGTTGAAATAGTGCCATTAAGACATTTCCCAAAATTTGTAATAGACATTTAAAAAGATGTATGTTAGTGGAAGAAAACACAATACAAAATTTTGCATATGTTTTGACTTCAGATACACGCACATTTTAAACAGCTTTATTGATATATAATTCACATACCATATAATTTACACATTTAAGGCCTGCAGTTTATTGACTTTTAGTATATTTGCAAAGTTGTGCAACTGTCACCACAATTGTAGAAATTTTCATCATCCCCAAAAAGAAACCACACACCCCTTAGCCAGTATCCACCAACGCTCCCTGTTCCCCTGTTCCCCACCCCTGGCTCTAGACAACCCTAATCTACGTCTGTCTCTCATTTCCCAATGTGCCTGCATTTCATTCAACTGTATTGTTTAATTAGAAAAAAATGGAAGAGAATTACAGACCAGACAGTGTGACTCCTACCAGTGAATAGCAGAATTATGATTTTAATTTTCTTCTCTATATTTTTTATATTTTTCTAATTATACAATGAGCATGTATTGCTAAAAATGGGGGGGCTTTTTTAAAAAAGAGAGAGAGCTATCTTGTCATATTAATAGTCCTTTTATTATTCTGACCCCCCCCCCCCAACACCTAGATCACAGCCTTATTTTGTGATGGCGGGGTATGTCTGTGTTCCAAATGACTGACTTCAGATTGGAATTTTGGAGCACAAGTTGTCAGAAGTTGGAATGCTCTCGTTGCTTTGGTTTGGTCTACGTCAGATTTCCCAGACCATCCTGCTCACCCTGTCCCCTCATCCCTTAGTGTCTAACCGTCCTTAATCAGGTGACCTCTCAGCCCTTAACAAATTGTCGGTTGGCTCAGGCGAGAGGCCCTGTAATTAAACCACATCCTTTGCCTCTTTAATAACATTGGAGACAGAGAACATAATTCTATGAGGGGACAGAAGGAATATATAATTTAGTGTCCTTTTCCTGAGCCAGTATGAACTTCGTGCATGTACAGTCTTGCATGCTTCAGGGTACAAAGTCATCTGTTGTCTCAGCAATTGTGCGTGTGAGCTAAGTACTATCACAAGTCGATCGGCATTTGGAAGCTCTTTGGATGTGTGTCTGGCGTACTTGGGGGTTTCGAACTTCACCTTTTTTTTGAGTAATGGATGTCTACACTGGGAGAACAAACTCAGCTGGGTCAATTCACAAGACAAACCAGTCCTGGCCAGTGTCGCAGAACCTCACCCACTGCCTAAGCTAGAAAGCCGGTGCCCTGTTCTTCTGGGCCCCCGATCTCTCACCTGCCTCTCCCCCTCAGCGCCCACGGCCCTGCCCCACACATTTCTCACCGGGACCGGGAAGCACCTCCCAGGGGGTCTCCTTCCTGCCCTTCCTGTGCTTCTTCCGCTTTGGCTGATGCTCAGGTAACATAGGTCAGGATACCACCCCGCTTGCCTGTCCAGTGTTGTCACCTGTGTCCATGTTCCTACCCCAGCAGGCTTGCTCATCTCCCAGCCCCAACCATGGTCTTAATCTGCGTTTCGTGGACAGAGCACAAACTGATGTGTGAGTGTCCTAAAATAGAATGCGTAACTCCGCGCGCGCGCGCGTGAGTGTGTTTGCGTGGGGGAGCAGGCTGGGGGTGGGACAGCTCTTAGCTTCATAAAATTCTTAAAGAGGATCTATGACCCTCCAGATTTCAGAACTTTGCTCTGGGTGTTTGCATGTGTTCTTACATGCATTGCCTCTCCTGTCCACCCCGGGAGCTGCTCTTGAAGACTGTGTTCCAGTGTGACAGCTTTCCTGCCTGAGGTCCCTTTCTCTGTGTCCCCCGAGCACTTTTCTGGCTGGAATTTAATTACTTGTTGACATACCTGTTTCCCCCACTAGACCCCAGCTCCTGGGATTAGGAGCTATCATCGCTCCCTGCCAACCCCCGCCCCACCTTCCCAAGCACGATGTCTAGTGCGCGGTCAGCCCTTAGCAGCACTTGCAGAGGGAAAGAGGCCAGGAAGGGCACGCCAGACCATTTTCTCTGTGGAAAGCTCACCCAGTGGTCCCTGCTTAGTGCGGTGAGTGGCCTCCTTCACCCTGATGGTCTGGGCCACAGAGACTGTCTCCCTCTTACGTGGCTGCGGGCTTTCCCCTGAGGGGCTGGAGGCCCAGTTGTCAAGCATCTACACGGAGACTTCCGTTTGCTCTGGGAACTCACCAGATATATAATGATTTTTAAATTACCTCTTGACAAATTTTGAGATCTTTGTTTTTCTTTTCTTTCCTTCCTCCCCTCTCAGATTGACGCACTGAGCAAGAGAAGCAAAGAGGCTGAGGCAGCCTTCTTGAACGTCTACAAGAGATTGATTGATGTCCCAGGTAAGCCCCGGCACCGATAGCCCCCTGTGGGGCTCTGCGGCTGAGTGGTGGGTGTTAAGCTCCTTTTCAGCTTTCCAAGGAACATACACCCTTAGAAACCAGGGAGTTCCCAGAAACGTGAATTCTCCATCACCCAGTCTTCAGATAGGGATAGAAATTCGATGCACTTATTAAAGTACCCATGTAATTGCTAGTAAACACAGAAACCCAGATCTCTGGGGCTACCGACGGTATAATACATGTGTGCACCACAGAGAAGACGTAGGATGTGTCTGTGTGCTGCGCACAAGTCTCCTGAACTGCTGGGCACCACCTTCAGGACTTCAGGAATGGCCCTGACAGGATATCTCGAATGCCTCACTCCCCTGCCAGGTCATCAGGATTAGTGACCTCCGGACTAGTCCTTCACTTAAGGGTTACAGGCAGAGAGGGTAACTCATGATTTTTAGCCACACTAAATATGCAAGTTGTTTCTTCTTTTAAAGGAACTAAAGAGTTAAAATTTAAATGATGTTTGTTAGGTATTCTGAGAGTTAATGGCTTCTGATTTCTTATTTTAGAAAAGTGAGACGGAATTTACAGCACCTAGACCCACTGGTCCTGTTGTTGGTCCTCTGCTCCCTGGTGACTTAGAATCTGTAGGGAGATGACATGATGACATGACCACGTGGGTCCCAACCCAGTCCTGGGTTGAGGACTGAGAGACTGATGAGAAAATTAGGAAAACCACTTAGATGTCTTCCTCTGCCAACCAAAGAAACCTAATTACCACCACCACCCCTCCCCACCCAGAGTCACCTGCTTACCCGTATTAGTAAGCTCTGAATATCACTGATGTTACTAGAGCTACTTCAGCCAAGCAAGGCAGAAACAGGTCTCCTTCGTACCTGTACTTATGTTCTAGTTCAGATCCACTATAGCTTTTCTCTTCCCTCTTGGAGTTGGGATTGCTAAAGGGCATCAGAAAGCACTTTGGCCAGGGAGTGGGAAGATCTGGATTCTCTTGCCACAGGCTTGTTGTGAAGTCTTGATCACATTCCTTTTCCTCTCTGGGAATAGCCTGGCAGCAGAGAATGACTTGCTTTGTTCTAACCTTTTGCTGTTGTGGGAGCTTATCTAACACTTAGTTCCCAAGTCGAGCTCTTTGATTTTCTGCAAGAGTTTGTATGTGACTAGGGGTTCCCCAAAGACTGACCAAGCCCCGCAGGTGGTTCCTTCGTAGTAAATAGATCATCTGATGTCCTGCTCTTCCCCAGGTATCAGCAGCTTGGCAGGCGTGAGGTGGTGGCTGCGAATTCTCTCTGAACTGTGTCACGTCCATACTGATTCAGGGATAAAGAATTTACAGAAACAGTGCAACCTGGACTTTGATAAACAGAACTTTTGATTTCCAAAGAGTTCCTTCTTTTAAGTTTTCTGTTCTGCATGCTCAGGAGGGTCCTGCCCCATCCTGTTCCCAGAAGCTCCTGCTTCCGAGGAGCAGGGTCCCAGAGGGGAGTGCTTTCCAGCCAAAACCTCTGCGTCCGTCATGTTGGTGACTCATTTGAGAAAGGGCCGGCTTATTCTGTCTTTGCCAAAGACCCAGAGAGCCTTTGCTCCTGTTTTCTGCATAACCTAGAATCTCATTTTTAGAGGTCAAATTTGTACCTGGATTTTCCCCTAGTGAAGTTTCCCAACTGGGCAGCCACTTTAACAAGCTGTTAGGTTCCTTTTTCTACAATTATAGAAAAGAAGAGGCCATTTTCCTCATCAGTGTTCCTCTTTGCCTGAGCAGGCCTTTATTCATACAAAGTTTATAGAATTTTGGTGACAACATGGGTATATAGTTATATTCTGCTTTTTTCACTTACTATCATTATTATTACTACTACCATAAGCGTTTTTCCTACATTGATGATATTCTTTATAATTGTCATCTCTGGCTGGAGGATAAATGTTTGCAGTTTAGATTCAAAATGGTGGGAGCAACATAATGTCTGATGTTTTCTCTAATAATGAAAGTCAATGAAAATACATCTACATTCCAGGTAGATCATTTTCATGTACCACCTCCCAGCTATTTCTTACAAATGCTGTGGTCTGACAGATCTAACAAGTTACTTAAAAAACAGGAACGGGGCCCGGAGCACTCTACCTGTGTTTTGAAGTCTGGTTATTGCCTGGGTGAAGTAATCCTGTGGCTGAGGCTTACAGGAAGGGCCTGGTCAATAGCGATGGTGCATTTACTGACAGTCACACTGTTGGGGGGAGGCAGGGCCTTCACTGTCTGCATGCTTTGGGCTTTAATCCAGCAGAATCCAGAAACACTTGGGGGTGCGTTAAGTTCCCCTAGTTGCAAGAGACAACAACTCATGCTATCTCAAAAAAATGGAGGAAGCTCTTGGGAATAGCTCGGCAGGTATTTCAGCTACGTGCCATGTGGCCCAACTCCAGGAAGGGCTGCTGAGCCAGCCCCGGGAAGAGGCAGAGCCAGAGTCCCACCAGCCTGAAACTGTCAGGGGCACCTGACCAAACCAGCTCCCACCCACTGTCCCTTCCTGAAACTTTATTTATTTGTGTGTTTTCTTGTTACTTACCTATTGGTCTCACTGCAATGAAAGCTCCTTGAGGCTTTGCTTTGTTGCTTTCTGCCCAGCCTCTGGCACACAACAGGGATGACATGGTGAGTGACTGAAGGAGTCAGTTGACCCAAAGCCCCACCTCCAAGTCCTCAGCAGCAGAGTTCGTGAAGGGTCACATTGGCGACTCCTAAAGCTCTGTTCTCACTCCTGAGTGCCAACCTGCATGTCCAGCTGCCTCCTGGACTTCCCCCAGGAATGACTGATGGGCACCTTGCAACCATTGGGTATGTCTCCAAAAGCTGTTCTTCCTGCATTCCTGCTCTTAGCGAAGGCATGATTTCCCACCCGGCTGCCCATGCCAGAGCATGTGGTCCCCAAGTCCTGGCCATCCCATCTCCAGGATGTGTCTTGATTCCATCCGCTTCTCTCCACCCCACTTTGTGCAATTCAGGTCGACACAAGAGTCTTTGCACTTGCAGCGTGGCCAGACCCCTTCTCTGCTGGCCCCCCAAGTCTGGCTGGGGTGTGCCCTTCTCATACACACACACCCCCGCCCATCCCTGTCACAACTACTTGCTAAGTCTGTGTCCTTTCTGGCAAGGCAGAGATATCGGGACAGTGTGATCTTGTCCCTAATTATTTCCCTAGCGTCTGCCCCAGTGCCTGTCATGTAGCAGAAACTTCATAAGTGTTTGTCAAATGAATGCATAAATTAGTGGATCAAATTATTTCTTCAAAATGCTCTCTGGGTTTTTTGGTCTCAGGCTTTAATTGTTCACACTGAACCATCCTCGTGAGATTGACGCTTCCCACTGAGGGCGAGCACTCCGAAGCATTAGACACGTCAGTTGCAAGAGAACAGAACGTATCTTTTATGGAGTTGTAGCAGTTTAATAGCTCTCTGAACTCTCATTTTGCTTTGGTGTCACTCTATAAAGATTTACATGCCTGCATAGACATTTATACCGCACTTAGCATTCAGGGTTCATCAAACCAGTGCACGCGCTTCTGGGGGCTTCGGTTTTGTGGCCAGTGTGTTATGTCCAGGATCTGTGTGATGCGTCAGCTGTCCTGCCGACCTGGCACCAAGCTGGGATCTCCCTCCATGCCAGTCCCCGCTTCCGCCCACTTCCGCTTCAATGGTCTGGCCCAGCTGGGAGGGAGAAAGATAGCTGAGTCATCCGGGGCTCCCCCTCTTCATCTTCCACAGCAGAAGTCCCAGCTAATGTTATTTCTCCTTCCAAAATCTCCTTCCTGTCCAAGACACTGGATAAACATTTAGGTACATAGTAGAATTGAACCACCATGGTCCTGAGGGGTCCTCTGAGCAGTTAAAACAGTTAAGACCTGATATTTCCATTCTTTTCATTTGCCACCAGCTTGCTCCTCATTCCTTAGTCAATTCTGAGAGTATTTTCAGGCGCTTTTCATTGGAAATATCTTCCTTTAGCCAAACCATGCTCTTCTGCAGGCTGCTATGACCCTCATCTTCCTGGTTGTTACTTGGTCAGTGCCTGAGCCTCAGAGACACAGCAGCCAGCGAGTTGCCTGCCCTCGTGGACTTTAGATCTGGTGGGAATACAGGCATTAAAAAGTAATTACACAAATAATGACTGAATTTTAGGCATGATGAGTGCTTCCACAGTAAAACCCACCAAGACCAAGATGCTTGCAGTGGTCACAGGGCCGCTTCTAGGAGTCACGCTGGGTAGAGGACCCCCTGCTCCCCAGGCGTGGGTCACCTGGCTGCAAAGGGATGCAGGGCCTGGGTGGTTATGTGAAGGCTTCTGGACTTCACCTAACAGAGAAGCCATTAATGGGCTTTACCCAGTGAAATGGTATGATCAGATTTGTGTATCGGAAAGGTCATCCTGGCTGCAGTGGGGACAACAGATTGGAAAGAAGTCTAAAGCGATTCAGGGGCCGGGAGAGACAGGTCTCTTGGTGTCTGATGGTGGGGGCGAAATTGGAGAGAAATGGATAGATAACCCGCTGTATTGAGGAGGTAGAATGGATTTGACTGTTGGTGGGATGGGAGGTTAAGGAAGGCAAGTAGGATAGCTCTGTCTCGGGACTTCTATCTGGAAAACAGTACTGTGTGTGTGGATCCATTTACTTTACAAAATTAAAAGAAAGACCAAGAAAACGTTTAGTGAATGAGTCTCCTGTCCCTGATTCTATTATTATCCCTCTTTGTGGTTCCAGTTGAAAATGGCCTTTGCCGTTATCGTCAACATCATAGCAGAAGGATAGAGGGTTTTACATTTAGAGTCAGGAGCAAGTTGCAATTTTACGTCGTTAATTTAATTGGCTTTCATCTGTCAGTTTTCTCATGGACAGATTTTTTGTCATAACATGTATGATCAATACATAGGGATTATCGCAAACTTAAATGCTTAATTTTTAAAATTCTAATGCACCTGTAATTGAGATTCATAT